CTGCAATCTGTCTCATTGCAATGGAGGATTCAACTCAGCTGCTTGTCAGCTGGTTATGCTATTCATAAAAGTAAGGCTGCTGAGTGCCTGTGTCATTTTGTAGTTTAATTGCCATCCTTCAACAACTACCTCACTATTTCTCAGGACTTTTTGAACTGAATCTGAAAAAGTGAAGAAATGCTTTTGATAAATAAAAACCTCTCCTGACTGTCTTTTTTTTTGTTTTTTCCACAAAACGCTTTTTTGGTTCAACCACGGTAAAAGATACTTCAAATTTAGCTGAGGATATTATGATTTGGAAAATGGACTAATTCTTATATAGTGTTTTCTACTCTCCCCACGCTCTATACAACAGGCCTCATTCACCCATTCACAAGCACTTCTAAACTCAAGTGCAAACTAATAAACATTCACACACATTCACACTCCGATGAACGCAGGTTTTAAAATATATCTTGGTGATACTATGACTTCTTTGCTGGAGAAATTATATTAGATGACAGGTGCTCTTATCTTCAACTAACATGTGTAAGGCTGCTGCTCAGATACATTTTAACTCTACAGATTCATATTTTTTGGTATTTTTTCTGTTATCTTTTCCTTACCCTTTGCCTACTGTTTTTCTTTGCTATCAAACTATTTTTGCACTTTTATTGTCACGGTCTGCCAGGGCAAGTCGTGGGGATATTGGAGAAAGGACCCAAATGCTGGACTAAGTGCAATGAACAGTGCGTTTATTTACAGTGGGGTAATGTACCACACACAATAAATCTCCAATGTGCTCCCTCAACTCCTGTGTTGTGCCTTCTCCTAAGTGCTGGTATTCCGTGCGTCCTGCCGTACTGTGTTCCGCTCTCCTCATGGAGTCTAACTCAACGATCCTGCGCCAGAGGAAGCTCCATCGCTCTGTTAAGTAGCTCCCCCGACGAGCTTGATCAGAAGCAGGTGTGTGAGAACCTAGGCGTGATCAGCAGCTGGCAGGGCCACACCCATCAGGCCTGCAGGTGGCTGTCCAGCCACACCCGCAGACACACACACATACACACACCAGCATGGAACACAAGAGCACAGTGCAGCAAACATACATCCAATACAATAATAATAATAGTCCACACTGCTCACCATCCCCGAGTCCCAGGAACTGGGTCTGTGACACTTATACCATCTGTTATTTTCTACTTCCTTGTTTTTCAATCTCTCCACACAGCTTCTTTTTCTATCTGTAAACTCTCGTCTCTATCCTGCATCAGGAACTCGTTTATTTATTCATTTACTGGCAATTGGAGTCCTGCGATTCCAGCTCCACCTCCAGCATCTTTAGATAAATGACATTTCCAAAGCCAGATGGACTACAGATACTGAAATAGTCTACCATGAGTTCATCAGTCCTACCACTTATCAACATTCAGATTTTTCTGTCTCATTGTTGTTCTTGTCATCGTGGAAAGATAAGAAGAATTGTTTAAAAAAAGAAAAGAAGGTTCAAATACACTTAAAAAACACCGCACAGAAATGATCCAATGAAAAAGCAGCTGAGAACAGAGGGTGAATGTGTAGGTCAGATGAGTCAAAATACATAAATCAATACACAGACTGATCGATACACATAGGTTCATCTCACTAAAATTATTTTTCTTAGCAGGAAATATCCATTTATAGATCCTTCATCAACATCACCAGTAAATACTTTATTATATAATTATTATATAACAATAAGACACTCAGAGTGAGTAACATTGTATCAGACAATGCAATCTCATTATCCAGTTTCAGGATATTAAGACACGTGCATCTTCAGTTGCATTCATCCAAATCGGGACAAAATCTATACTGTAGATATCCTCCTGCATCAAATCATCCATAGACCCTTCATACAGATATTCAAACCCAACTTTCTTAGCATCTTGGATAAATCAATAAACCATTCTTCTTAAATAGCCTACAGCAAGAACTCAGACCTACCCAACTGTAGTGTCTAAAACAATATCCAGCTATGGCCTTTTTCCTGATGATACCACTGTTTTCTTTTCTGGTGGTGAACACATATTGTGCAGTCATCTGCATGTTTACATTTGTCTGCATGTACAGTGCTGTGAAAAAGTATTTCCTTCCTTCTTAAGTTCCTTTTTTTGTATATTTGTTTTGCTTTTGTTGAATGTTTCAGATTAAACAAATCCAAACCTACTGCAGTCAAACATTTGCAATTACTAGGAACAACTCTACATGGCTCTGGAGGAATTTTGTCCCACTTTTCTTTGAGAATTATTGGAATTCAACCATGTCTGAGGGTTTTCAAGCATAAAATTCATGTTTGATTTGAGTCCAGCCAAGATCGCTCCAAAACCTGGTTGTTGTTTTTTCATTTGGGTTTTATTGTTTGTTTGTTTCTTTAGTTGCTTGATTTTTTCCATTTAGAGGTGGACTTGCTTTTGTGTTTCAGGTCATGATCTTGCTGTAAAACCCAAATGTG